TACCCTGTATTGCAAGTTCATAGCACTTAACTGCAGCCACCAAGATATGTGGTCACTGCCTCAATGACAGTGATACATCCTGAGAAATGAGTCATTAGGCGATTTCGTTGTGTGAATCTTTTAGAGTGTGCTTACGTAGACCTAGATGGTGTGGCCTGCTCACACCTGGACAGTGTGGTATGGCCTGTTGCTCATAGGCTACACACTATAGAGCATGTTGCTATACTGGTAAGCATTTGTGTATCTAAACATATAAAAGGTACAATGAAAATACAGTATAAAAGATTTGAAAATGTATACCTGCATAGGGCGTTTGGCATGAATGGAGCTTGCAGTACTTGAGACTGCTTTGGGTGAGTCAGTGGCTAAGTGGTGAGTGAAGGTGAAGGCCTGGGACATCATTGTACACTCTCGTGTGGCAGTACAGTAGGTATGCTTATGCCAGCATCACTGCAAACATGGAATAATGCTTTGTGGTACAGTTTTGTGATGACTGTGACATCATTAGACAATAGGAATTTTTCACTTCCATTGTAATCTTAGAGGACCACTGTCATGATGCAGTCCTTTGTTGACCAAAACATCATTACATGATGCATGACTGTACAGTAAGTCCTCATTTAACCTCATACATGGGTTCTCAGAAACTGTGTCTTGAAGTGAAACCATGTATAATGAAAACAATTTTACTGTAGGCTAATTGATATAAACAAGAGTTAAAAACCCACACAGACATGGAGAAAATGGGCAAACTCCACACAGACAGTGGCTTCAGCCATGAACCGATTTATTTTTTCTTTTTATCAGCATTATAACACAATGATGCTATTTGAGAACCTGCTGTGGTTCCTTGCTGACTTCAGGGGCACAAAGGCTGGCTCGCATCCTCAGTCTCTAGGGCAGCGTCTGGCATTCCAATCAGGGAGACAGTAACTGGGTGTTTGATTAGCTGTGGGAGGTGAAGGAAGGAAGGGGTCTCGTTTTTTGGCTGAATTGTCTATCTCTGTCAAAATAGTCCTTTCTTCTTCCTGTCTTACCTTTCCAGGAAGCATTTTTTCTTTTTTAATTGGACATGTCTATTTCTGTGGGTGGGTCCATATTTTTTGAGTGGGTTTTTTGTTTTTGTCTTTTTTTTGTGACAGAGTCTTGCTTTGTTGCCCAGGCTGGAGTGCAGTGGTGCAGTCTTGGCTCACTGCATCCTCTGTCTCCTGGGTTCAAGCGATTCTCCTGCCTCAGTCTCACCAGCAGCTGAGATTACAGGTGGCCATCACCACACCCGGCTAATTTTTTAATTTTAATACAGATGGGGTTTCACCATCTTGGCCAGGCTAGTCTCAAACTCCTGACCTCAGGTGATCCATCCACCTCGGCCTCCCAGTGTTGGGATTACAGGTGTGAGCCACTGCACTGGCCTGTTTTTGTCTTTTAATCTGTGGATCTCCAGTGTACTGTTCTCACTAGATGAAGAGATGCTGGCTTACATCTGTTGGGCAGGCCCTCAGTCCCTGTGGGGTGGGCAGTCTGGTCTAATGAAGGAGTCTTGGGCCCCAGATCAAGAGGTGGAGGTCCTGACTACACCAATTCATGCAATTCAGCCATGAGACAGCTTCCTGGCCCATAAAATGAAGGTGGGGTGCAGTGGGGTCGGGGTGGTAACAGCATGCAAGCCTACATCTGGGCTGATTTTGACAATTCGGAGGTAATAGTATGTGAAAGGTCCCTGGCATGGCAGTGTTGGCTGTTAAGGAAAAGGGGCTGTTTATGTTTTTAAAATCTCTTCTTATTTGGGTCTCCTTGTGCTTGGCAGTGTGCCTTTCCACTTAGATCCAAGCCTTGGTTGGTCAAGGGCAGTTTATTCAGCAGCAGAGCAACTGTAGCCCTAGGCCAGAGCCGTTCACACATTGGTGATTGTTAAAACCTTGATATTTGACCTTGGAGAGCTTTCTGGCCTAGGCTAGTGCAGTGACAACTATTAGTCCCACTTTGGCCCTGATGTCGTAACTAGAGTGATAATAATTGCAGCTTTCACTTGTTGGGCATCTGCTCTTTGCCAGACATGTGCTCACAGAGTCCATGTTGCTCACACCAACCTTGTCAAGTAGGTGGTGGACTCCCCCATTTTATGGAAGAGGATACTGTAGTCCAGAGAGTTTGAGAAACTTGCCAAGGTCTCTTGTTTGGAGTTCTCTATAGGACCTCCTTCTCATTTAGTTATTACTACTCTTTTAATTGTTTTTTTGGTTTCATTTTAGTAGGTTTTTGGGGAAGAGACAGTGTTTAGTTACATGAATAAGTTCTTTAGTGGTGATGCCTGAGATTTTGGTGCACTGACCATTTGAGCAGTGTACACTGTACCCAGTGTGCAATCTTTTATCCTTCCCTCTGCTCCTATCCTTTCCCTACCAAGTCCCCAAAGTCCTCTTATGCCTTTGCATCCTCATAGCTTACCTCTCACTTATGAGTGAGAACATAGGATGTTTGGTTTTCCATTCCTGAGTTACTTCACTTGGAATAATGATCTCCAGTTCCATCCAGGTTGCTGTAAATGCCATTATTTCATTCTTTTTTATGACTGAGTAGTATTTCATGGTATATGTGTAGCCCAGGTTCTTTCTCCACTCGTTGATTGATGGGTATTTGGGCTGGTTCCATATTTTTACAGTTGCAAATTGTGCTGCTGTAAGCATGCATGTGCAAGTATCTTTTTCATGTAATGACTTCTTTTCTTCTGGGTAGATACCGGGGTTGTATGGTTGCTGGATAAAATGGTAGTCCTACTTTTAGTTCTTTAAGGAATTTTCACACAGTTTTCTATGGTGGTTGTACTAGTTTACATTCTCCTAATTGCTTTAATTGCTTTTTTTGACTTAGAATATGATGGCTGTTTGTAAGCTCCTTGTGAGCAAATTTTGTTTTTCATTTTTGAGTCAGGGTCTCACTTTGTTGCCTAGGCTGAAGTACAGCAATGCAGTCATACTCAGTGCAGTCTTGATCTTCTGGGCTCAAGCGATCCTCCTGCCTTGGCCTCCTGAGTAGCTGGGACTATACGCACATGCCACCATGCCCAGCTAACTTTTTTTATTTTGGTAGAGACGGAGTTTCACTATGTTGCCCAGACTGGTTTCAGACTCCTGGGCTGAAGTGAATCACCTGCCTTGACCTCTCAAAGTGTTAGATTTACAGGCATGAGCCACCACACCCAGCCTTGAGCAATTTTTAATAGTTGTCTTTTGTCTCTTCTGTATGGCCTCTGTTCTTGATTGGCATAACCCAGTTTTAGCTAGGTGAGGTCATTGCTCAGTGGGTCTGCTCGTCCAGGCTCTGCAGAGGTCTGCTTTGCTCTGGAGGTGTTTCTTGCTCCATCTCTTCCCACCTACGGTAGTGGAGTGAGTGATGATTGGATAGGGTCCATGCTTTGGAAATAGGCACTGATTTCCTCTCCTCGCTACTTCTTTTTATTTCTAAATACTTCTGTTCATCTTTTCTGGGCTGCATTCATTTTCCCTCTTTACTGCTGTAGTTTATTGCTCTTTGCTGACTCCTTTATTTTTATTTTCCAGACTTGCCTGAAATGCATCTTGATTCTGGCATCTTTAGAAGTTTAAAGCCCTGCAGTTTGTTACTGATGATTTTCCTCATTTTGCAGAATTCCATTTGGTTGCAATTCTATTTGACAAGACCCTGCTTTTCTTCCTTCTTAAATCATTAAATTTTAATATTCTTCTGTTCCTGCTCTTTTATAGAAATTTGTATTTCATTTTTTAGTTTGTAATAATGGACCGTCAATGCCCTACAGTTTGACTTCTTATCATACTTACTTGTTTTCGGAATTATACGTTCATGGAGCAGAGACACTTTTATGCTGTTCTTGCTTTTTCTGAAAGGCAAATCTGTCCATACTGTTTTGGTACTCAGCACCCTTGATAGGCTCTTGAACATCAGCTCTGAATGCCCCATCCCAGTGCTAGAGACCAATGGTGTCCCCCTTTCTTTGCCTGCCTCCCTGTAACCTAGATTGGCAGTTCTCAAACTTTGATTCAGGACCCCTTTACATAACCCTTAAAAATTAGTGAGATTCCTCAAAGAACTTTTGTTTATGTAGATTTTATCTAGCAATATTTACTGTATTAGAAATTGAAATTAAAGAAATTTTAAAATATTAAACGTGCTTAAATATAACAATAAACCCATTATATATGATAACATAAAGTAACATTTTTACTGAAAAATATTTCCAAAGCACAAACATTTAGTGAGAAGAGTGACATTGTTTTACATTTTTCCAAATCTCTTTAATGTCTGTCTTAATGGAAGACAGCTGGAGTCTCATAAATGCTTTTGCATTCATTTTGTTGCAATATGTTGTGTTGGTTGAACTATATGGAGAAAATCCAGCCTTACACAGACATGTGGTTAGAAAAGGGAGGAGTGTTTTGATAGCCCTTTCCGTTAATTGTGGATAGTCTTTGAACTATATCAGAACTTGACCAGCTGTAAAGGTTTGTTGCAACATAGAATCTGATACCAATCAATGAACTTTTCATAATGCTGTAAGTCCATTGTCCTATCACGTACTTTGAAAGGATTTTTTTCACGCATCATTTGTAACATCATGCATCATTCGTCATTTGGAAAATATCAAAATATCACATTTAATATCACCATTTGGAAAAATATCAACATGTCACATTTGTTAATGTCACTGCCATTCTCATCTGAAAAGTCTTTAAGTATTGGGATACTCTAAAGCTCAAAATACTGGATACAAGTTTCCCAAAGTTTGGTTTGTTTGTTTTTTTTGAAACAGAGTCTCACTCTATCCTCCAGGCTGGAGTGCAGTGGCAAGATCTCGGCTCACTGCAACCTCTGCCTCCTGGGTTCAAGCAGTTGGCTCAGCCTCCTGAATAGTTGGGATTACAGGCACCCACCACCATACCCAGCTAATTTTTGTGTTTTTAGTAGAGACAGGGTTTCGCCATGTTGACCAGGCTGGTCTCGAACTCCTAACCTCAGGTGATCTGCCCTCCTTGGCCTCCCAATGTGCTAGGACTACAGGCATGAGCCACTGCACCCAGCCCCAGAGTTTTAATTTTTGCTTGGAAGCCCAAAACTTGTCTTTAGTAACAAATACCATCAGTTTTCCTTGAAATAACAGCCTCACTGTATTTATTTTTAACAAAGTGTTTATAAATACCGAAATCTGAATAATCATAGTTTTTCTCATTCTTTCAAGTAAAGATGATGTTCTGTGAAAAACAGTGACTAAGCTTGCAGCTTAGTCATGCAAGTCCTTTTTCTTCCCAAAGACAACCATGGTACTCTGGCCTGCAGTGGAAGTGCTGAATGAGTGCGCTTAACATTTTGTTACATGGGATGTTAAAAATATGTGTACTCAAGAATCAATATTTAATAAAATTAGTAATTTTACTGCTTCATCAAGGACACTCTTAGGTAAAATTGACTTTAAAAAATAGCAGGGGTGGATAATAGCTGTGTGTATGGCAGTAGAGAATATAATGACTACTGATATGCTAAGATGCCACTGCCTTGATTTATGCTAAGTCACCAGTAGTTTTACCTTCCTTTGCTTTTGCACCAGCAATGTGTCAACACAGTTGAAGATAGTTTTGACCTTGCAGGACTCCCAGAAGGGGTCTTGGGCCACACTTCAAAAACCAGTGGGTAAAACTAAACTGCTCACCATTTATCTGTGTGCTCTAGATTCTCTTGCTTTCCATATCTTGGCTCCATGCCTCCTCTGCCCAGAACATTCATCTTCACTACCACCTCTCCCTCCCCTTGTGTGTGTGCGTATTCACACATATGTGTACATCTACACATGTATAGGTGTGTATGTGTGTATAAATGCACGTGTGTGTATATTCAGCTAGGACTGGTTATAATAATCGTGTGCAGTGATCTCATCCTGTAGATGTGGGCCAGGTTTCATATTTATCTTGGTGGGCAGTAGCACCAAGTACCATGTTTGGCACAGCTAATCAGTCATTAAATGTTAGCTGTCATCATCATCATCATCATCATCATCATTGCAAGGGCTTAATACTTTTTTTTTTTTTTTTTAAACAAATGAAGAGTTTGGGTTAGTATTTCTCATGGTTTCCTTAGAACATTGGTTCTCTGTGATACCTACCAGTAAGTGTTGATGAAAGGGCATCTGTGGTCAGCTAGATTTGAGAATGCTCAAATACATTTTTCATTGAAGGATTTTCAGGATCCTTTATTGTATAAAGTGTATATTGTGAATCTTTAAGGGGAATGGGAAGCTATAGAATCTAGCATTTCCCAAGCTGAATAACCTGTGAACCTTCTTTTCTTGGCATAACTTATAGGACCAGGTTTCTTGGAGTTTTCTTTGGGAAATAATCACATAGTCTGGCCTTTTCATTTTTACAGATGAGGAAATTGATGACCTATATTCATTCCTCTGCATTAATTTATACCTCAGCTAGTTAAGGAATACTTCTTAAAGTTAGACACTGCTAGGTTGGGTAATAGAATAGTAGCAAGTGAAAAAAAACAGACTTGGGGAAAGCGTTACTATACTGCTTATATGGAGTAGATGATTAAGTGGGAGGTACAAACATTAATGAAATCGTTACTGAAATTATAATTGTTATGTAAATGGTATGTAGGAAGGTACATGGTGCTAAATCATTTGTTTTTTTTTGTTATTGTTGTTTTGCTCATTTTCAAAGCTTTGCCAGGCCCATTTAGATCTTCCTCTCAGCATTTTGCCACTGCTGGCAGCTCTGGGATCCAGACTGCTGAAGATCAGTAAAGATGATGTCCGTTTGCCCAGCTACATCATCTGAGAGTGTAGCATGTTGAAGACATGATCTGTTACAGCTTGAGACAACTTTCTCTTAGTGCCTGATGTTTAGTAGATACTTGTATATATTGATAGACTGCATGAAGAATGCATAAATGTGCTTAGAAAAGCCTGGACTGAAGGACATATCCTACACTGTGGTTTCCTCACCCACTGTCCTGATTCACTGTGCTGTACAGGGGAACTCAATAAAGTGATTGAACATGTATTTCCTGTACCCCGGCTCTGACCTGGCCCCATTTTGGAGGGATACAACGACTCTTCCCTTCCCCACCATGCAAAACAGAAAAACACATCTTTCTGTTTTGATCCAGTACTGCCCACACATTGGGGAAAATGTTAATATACTATTTGTATGAATATGTTTAATCAAAGCACATGATGTTGATACAGTAAAATTGGTCTGTGGTCTGGTGACTGCCTGGGCATATGATAGCAGGAGGGTTTTGCAAGAGAACAGCCTTGGAGTCAGGACTTTTATAAGAAGATTAGGTCAGTGTTTGATTTGATGTTTCATTCTGTGAAGTCACCTACAGAGAAATCAAACATTTACATGTTTAGTAACTGGTGTTTTTGGTTTTGGAATGTGGCCACAGGCTTTGGGCTTGATGAACTCTGGGAATGCATAAAAATCTCTCATTCCCCCTGTTGTATGGGTAGATAAGCAGGAAAACATTTACCTTCTCAGGTTATCTTACTTCAAAGAAGCCATCATGTTCCTGCCAGAGTCCGAAAACCAACAGGCTTTCAAGAGACCAAGAGTTGTGTACAGTCATTTAGGGAATGGCATGTATCCAGGTTGCTAAATTTTTTGTTGTTGCTCTGAGACTGAATTAGGAAAATTCCCATTGAGTTTTGGACCTCTTGATTTCTAATCTTCTTTGATTAAGTTAGAGTTGCAGAAATATCATGGATTCCTACTTTAAAAATAACTTTCTTTTCTTTGTAAAAAAAATAATTCAGACTAATTGTAGAAATTTGGATAAATAGCAGAAGGCATATGCTGAAAATTACCCAGAATCCTTCTTCAGAGATAATCACTATAAACATTTTGTTGTATTTGCATGTATTTTTATATACATAATTAAGATCATTGTGTATAAATTTTGATTTCTTCCTATTCCATTTAGCATATGAATACTTTTTCTTGTGTTGAGAGCAACATGGACTTGTATTAGTTTCCTGTTGCTGCTGTAATACTTTTCCACAAATGGAGTGGCTTAAAATAACAAATTTATTCTCATAGTTTTGGAGGCCAGACGTCTGAAATCAAGGTATAAGCAGGACCATGTTCCATGTGCACAGACTCTAGGGGAGAATCTGTTCTACTCTTTGCTCTTCTAGCCTCTGGTGCTGCCAGCATTCCTTGGCATGTGGTCTTGTCATTCATATATATGCCTCAGTTTTTACAGTGCGTGCGTGTGTGTGTGTGTGTGTGTGTGTGTGTGTGTGTGTGTATGTGAAATCTACCTTTCCTATAAGGACGTGTGAATTTAGGTCCAATCCAGATAATCAAGAATATGGCTTTATCTCATAATTCTTGACTTAATCACATCTACAAAGACCATTTTTCCTTATAACATTTCCAGGTTTCAGGGTTGGGACCTGATATGGTTTGGCTGTGTCCCTACCCACTCACCTTGAACTGTAGCTCCCACAATTCCCGTGGGTTCTGGGAGGGATCTGGTGGGAGATAATTGAATGATTGGGGGCAATTTTCCCCCACTGTTCTCGTGGTGGTGAATAAGTCTCACAAGAGCTGATGGTTTTGTAAGGGGAAATCCCTGTCACTGGGCTCTCATTCTCTCTTGTCTGCGACCATGTGAGGTGTGTGACTTTTGCCTTCCACCATGGTTGGGGAGGCCTCATAATAGAACTGTGAGTCCATTAAACTTCTCTTTGTTTATAAATTACCCAATCTCAGGTATGTCTTTATCAGCAGCATGAAAATGGACTAATACAGGACCTGACATCTCTGGGGACATTATTTAGCCTTCCAGAGGGTTTAAGACAATGGGCTCTGGAGCCAGACTATATGGGATCTAATCCTAGTGCCGTCTACTAGCAGGATGACCTTGAGCAAGTTCCTTAACTCTTGGTACCTCTGTTTTCTGATCTGTAAAACGGGAATAATAGTACCCACCTCCTTGAGTTGGTATACAAATTACAAGATTAATATATACAAAACACTTAAAAAGCTCAGATTAGTAGCTGGCCTGTGTAAGGAGTAGCTCTTATAGTTGTTATTTTTATTGACAGTTCTTTGTCATGTCATTTTAATGGCTGCGTAAGAGTTTCCAAATGAATCTGCCATAATTTGTCTAATCTATCCTTTTGTTGGATAAGTTTCTTTTTCATTTTTTATCTCAGGTATGATGTTGCCCTGTAGCATTAAATTTTGTTCCACTTTATTCCTTAGTGTAGAGTTCTGGAAATGGAATTCCAATGTCAAAAAGTGTATACAGTTTTAAGCCACTGAATAAGAATTTGTTAAATTACTTTCCAGAAAGTCAAATGGTGAGCATACCTGTTTTACTGTTGCCTTACCTGTTATCACATGTTATCATTTTCAGTACTCTCAGGTACTTTGACATAGTCTGTCCTTTAAGGCTGAAATGTAACAGTATAAGGGACTCTACACGTGGTTCATTCGGTAAGGAGTATTCTGACCATGCAAGAAAACTTCTAACAGAAAATGAAATCCTTACTTTGTCAAGTCACCAAGTGCCTTCTCCATTCTGTTATGAAGCCCGGAAACTTGCTGGGTGTTTTTGGCGTTAGGGGGAGGAGTGTTGGGGGAAAGGATGTTAGTACCAGGGTAATGCTAGGTTTATAGAGCCTTCAATACCATAGTTTTGCTTCTGTTCTCAAATGTGGACATTTAAAACTGAGCATTTGATGGGGTGAGGGAGGTACATGTGAACAGAAAACAGATTAATCACTTTACAACTAAGGCGTTATGAGGGACAGGAGTATGGGGTGGGAAGGGGTAGCCCCTGCATTGTTCTCCAGATTATCTGGGAGATCAACCCTGGGAAAAGCTGGGGGAACAGTCTGCATCTGCACTTTGTCCCCCAGGTCACCTGCTGCCTGCTCTCCTTTCCTAGTGGGTGCCCATTGCAGTCTGGACTATAGAGGCATAGCAGGGGTTCCGAGTGTGTATGCTCAAGAGAACCTGCTGCATTAGAGGTCATCTGGTCCCTGCTGTTCAAGCTATTCAGAAACATAGGGTGGCTGTGTTTCCCCAGTGGAAATGCACAGTATACACCATGTGCAGCCGGTCATGCACAAATTCAACAGTAGCCAAACCTGTTCTAGTTGGCTAAGTGGTGGCACCAAAGATGTGCTTAGATTAGAACATCCCTGGAACTTATAAATGTTACCTTAATTGGAAAAAGGAGTTTTGCAGATGTGACTGAGTAAGGATCTTGAGATGAGATCATCCTGGATTATTTGATAGGCCCTAAGTGCCATCACAAATATTCTTATAAGAGAGAAGCAGAGGGAGGTTTGACAGAGAGGAGAAGGCAGTGTGCCAAGAGGAGAAGGCGTCTGCCAAGACGGAGGCAGAGGTCAGAATGATGTGGCCACAAGCCAGGGAATGCCAAGCCACCAGAACCTGGAAGCGGCAACAAACTAGTTCTCCCCTACGGCTTCCAGAGGGAACATGGCATTGCTTTTTCCTTCATTTCAGACTTCTGACCTTCACAACTAATACATTTCTTAAGCCATCCAGTGATAATTATGGCAGCCTCAGGAAACTCATATACTAGTCTGTGCCCTGTCCAAGACAGTTCCGCTGATTATGTGCTTGGCTCTGTAGCAATATCATATTGCTGTAAAAGCTTCTTAGCACTTCCAATTTCTGTACTTATCTGGTCAAGACCCAGCAACAGAGTTGGCACTGGTTTGCAGAACCCCGTTTTAGTATCACTGATGTAGTCTCCATCATTTTGTGAATGAAGAAACTGAGGCCCAGAGAGAGGAAGTGCTGTAGGTGTGGGACGAGCAGCTGGTGCTTCTTCTGCTTGGAATGTTTAGACAGGGCCAGATCTGGGGAGAGCAGACAGCAGAGTTGCCCTTCAGCCTGTTCTGAGGCCAGCCGGTATCCCCATTACTGTTCTGTATCCTGCCCGGTGAAAGCTGATGCTCCAGTGAGCCCCTGGAGCAACAAGCTGCTCAGAAGGCCCAGAAACCAGGGCAAACTGGTAGAGCCTTTGGTGCAGCTACTGAGCCAACAGCAACAGGCAAAGAACCCTGTCAAGGGTAGAGGTCACAGTTTACTGATGACTTAGTTTCCAGCTGACCGCTTCCGTCTTTGTAGACCCTCTAACTCAGGTCATATTTTCCCTCTGGAGCCCAATTTTAACTTCCTATATTTTCAGAATGGTAGTTATCTCTTAGAGATTGGGGACTAGACTACATGCTGCTTTGATAAAGTCCAAACTCCTTTACTTGGCGTTCCTGGCTCCTGAATGACCAACTCCCTTCCCCTTTCCAGTTCTGCCTCCCCTCCCCCTCTTTTACATACCTTAATCTCTGAACTTCGCCAAAATCAGTGCTCCCTAGTAGAAGAGGCTACAGAGGTTAGTTTCTTAAATCTCCACAGTAGGTAAGTTCACGATTGCCCAACTCAGGAACTACTGGAAAAATATGGTGAGATAGAGGTTGAGCATACAATTGTGAAGCTCTTGAGGGGGGAAAAAAGACAACAACTGTTTACATTTACTTAAAGAGAGTATAAAGGCAGCACAGCAGCCAGTACCAACCACTAACATCAACAATCACCTGAGACCATCTGGCCCAGTGGAGCAACCAGATGCTTGTAGCCACATACATAAGCCAGGCAAGACCAGAAGAAAAAGCCCAGCTGAACTCAGCACTGACTGCTGATCTACCACAACCACACCTTGAGTAGATGAAATGTTTGTCTGAAACAAAACAAAACAAAAATCACAGTAAACCAAGATTTATCTTTGAGTGACTGTACATATTTTAGTAATGATAGGCATTGTACCATTACTCAATTATGTCTGGCTTGTTATAGACAACTTTTTGGAGTCTCCCACCTTTTTATTTTCAGTGAAACTCTTATTATTTTGCTTTATGGGTAATATTCATATTAAAAGCCCCCTTCCCCCAGTATCTGGGCTTCCATCTTAACATTTAATGCCATTGAGGTTTTGAGTTAATTTGTTGGCTGTCCTTTGTGGCTCTCACACATCTCTCTTCCTTTCCTCTCTGATGGGATGGGACAGTAGTTCAGATGCCTGGGTCACTTTCTCATCATCTTTCATTTTTCTCAAGGCTTTGGTTCAAAAGCCTTTGTTCCTTCACCTTCTACTTTCATTTCTTTTTCTAGTCCCAAACCTGTATCCCTTATTAAAATCAGTCATTTTTGATTGCAGGGAACAGCCATGCTCTCATGGCAGCTTAAGTTAGCAGAGAGTTTGCTGTAGGAATCTCAGGAATACAGGGAGCAAAGCTTGACTGCCTGTTTGGGGCAGGACTGGGAAGGCCCCTCTAACTCAGGGGCTATGTGTTCTTGCCCATCACACACATGCATGTGTATGCCGGGGTATGTGTGTGTCTGTCTGCCCCTCTGGAGCAGGGTGGTGACAAGTGTCTGTCCCCAAGTCAGCTGTGAGAGGGGAACCGTATGACTGCTCTTTCAGCATGAGCTGAGGGGCCAGGGGGGTGGGGGGCTCAAAAAAGAAGTCTGCGGAGGGGTTTCCCCTGTGACCTTTTATACCCTTTCTTCTAATTTCTCAACAGGAATAACTCAAGTCACCTGTACTGGAGATCAGTTTGCTGAAATTATTCAAGCAACGATTCTTGAAGTTGAAGAAAAGGTAAAAATGCTGTTACAAGGGAGACTCATGTCTGGGGAGAGGTCACCGTCCCTGTCATTCCTCCTATATGCCCAGTTTTGTGTGTAATATTTTACCCCTTCTCTCTGCCTGGCCATGTTCCTCCTCATCCCTCAAGTTCTTTATCAAATGCCACCTGTCTCCTTTGTGGAGGATCTCCTCCAGGCTGGTGGTGATTTCTCCTGCTGTTGAACCCCCTTGCACTTTCTCCTTCCTGTGACGTTTATGTTCTTGTTTGCCCTTCCTCTGATGGCCTCGCCCTTCCTGTCTCCTGGCCGGTTGGGTAGAGGTTCATAATACCACCCTCCATCATGGTACTTACTTCCACAGTTTATTCTCGTGGCCTGTTGTTGTATTTTCCCCAGTAAGCTCCTCGAGGGCACATCTGAATTGTGCCTGGGTCATGGTCGGTTCTCCATAAACATTTGTTGAATGACTCGTGAAGGAGACTCCCCACGAGAGGCCTGCTCTTGTGTGGACCCACAGTGTACCCCCAACATGCCTCCCTTACTGGGTCTGTACTAGAAATCATTCTTAAATACATTCTGATTTTTGAGCATTGATCCGAGATTCCTGATCTTCTCTACTAGCAAAACTTTGTGTCTGATTTTTTTTGCCCATGTTAAGAGCTGGAATCCAGAAGTGGGGAGGGAGGTGACAGGCAGAGCTGGAAGCCACTGGTCACTAGAGCAGGGCTTCCCACCCGCTTCCGCCCCCTTGTGGAGGGTGTGAGTGGGGGTTGTGGCCCCTGCTATCTGCTGCTGGTGGATTACCTTCTCCATCTGTGCCAAGCTCTCAGCTGCTTCACTCAGTGACCTTATGTCTTAACCCACCTCCTTGCCCCCAACCTTTGTCCTTTAAATGAACAAGTCAGCAGATTCCTTTTTGCAAACTGTTTACTGTACCTGCTGAAGATCCCAGAGAAATTTCTTACTAATTTTATCAGTTTGTACATCACAGCCAGAGGGACAAAGTTTAGATTGTGGATGATCCTGGAGACACACATTTCCAGAGATTGTTTTGCATATTCATTTGCACATTGTTGTCTGGGTTGGATGTGTGATTTGGGGTTCAGTATGAGGCTTTTAATATGTATATCCTGTTATCAATAAAAAATTACCCAAGTGGTTGAATCTTGTGAGACTTGGCAAGTGTGTGCAAATCAAGTATACTTGACAAAATAAATAATCAATTGATGGTTCTCAAAAAAAAAAAAAATCAGTTTAGTTGGTCACCATCATCTTGGAGGACTTGACTCACCCTTTCTGCTTAACAGTAACCAGCAGTTGTCTCTCACATTGGTGGAGTGCTTTCTCTTTTGCAAGGTACTTTGACACACATCAGCAGATTTTCTTCTCCAGCTAGTCCTGGGAAGCAGTCAGAGGCAAGTGGTAACTTCGCATTTCAAAGTCGGGAAATAAGCTCAGAAGTTTAATGTCTTGCATAAGGTCATGAGCTGATGTGAATGGGGTTCAGTTTTTACCACCCCATCCCATCTTGGTCCTTCCCTTTGGAAGCCATGGCAAACTACCAGACTCACAAAACAGCCTCTTCCCTCTCCTCCCCACGCTCAGTGTTCCTTTGAAGGAGGGGAGTCTTGATCTGTTGAGAGTCTGACCCTGCTACTCTCTCCACCCCCAGCCAGGCAACTTTCTTGAAAAAGCAGATATGTTCCTCTTGAGACCTTCCAGTCAGCCTTGAAAGTTTTGTTTTTGTTAAGGCTAATTTATAGACAAGAAATTTAATTAGTTTATATGAATGCTGCATTGTCTTACTCTGAGTAAACTGGAAGACACTAATGGGTTTGATCAGCTTAATTCAGCTGTATCTGATGATGTTCTTTCCCTTCCTTCTCTTTTAAATAATTGCAAATGGTTTCTATCAATCAAGGAAGTGGAGCACAGTGCTTTATTGCCATGTGGAATTGTTTAGTTAAATGTGGTTTTTAAAAAATGGCTCAACTTTCAATGAAAGAGTGGATTGTCAAGTGACATTTTGATTTGTCCTTTGATGGGGAAATGGGAAAATAGAACCATCATAGTAAAAAACCATCTTCTATTCTAGAAGGGGGGCTATTAACTTAAGAGCAGGATATGATTTCAGTGAATTGTTGTTTTCCTGAAACAGGCCATCCTCTATGGTCTTTTTACGTTGAGAAACCTTCCTCTGATACTCTCTTAGATTAACATTTTCCTGTGGGAAACTCTAACCTCAAATCCCCCAAACAGGTTGGTACTCCCCATAGTGTAAGCTCTGGGGCCTAAGACCAGACGCTACCAACCTTTTGCTGGGAATCTGAAACATAGTATTGAGAAATCTGCAAGCCTATTGTGATGCTTTTAATCGAAGGAAACATCAGGCTGCACATTTACTTCCAGTTGTGGCATGATGTAAGCACTATTTTACTGTGAAGGTTATTGTTTTCTTAACCCCAAAGCTGGATCTACATTAGTGAGGATCCTTATAGAGGCTACCCACAGGTGTCCTGGCTGAGTGTGGTCCCAGGTGCTCCTCAGTGGTTGTGCCCACCTTGAACTGGCACAGTGGCAGGACCTCTGAGCTCCATGAGAGGATGGGCATGGGTCACCTCTGAGGCTGGCTCCAGGACTCCTCTGTGTTCTATAGCATTCTTACACCCTTTGTAGCAGTTAGCAAACTTGGTATCTCGTGGGTTCCTCAAGCTTACTGTGTCCAGATTTTAAGTCTTGGTCTGCTTCTACCATAGTCCCTTTCTAGGTCTCCTCCCTTCCCCCATCTTATTAAGGTGCGTAGTTGTTAACTCACTTTGTCAAGCCAGAAACTGGGAAGTCATCTGTTAATATTCGCCTTTCTCTTCCTCCAAAGCACCAAGTCCTAATGATGCCTCTCCTTAAGTAGATCTTGAGTTCATCCATGGCTCTCCCATGTCCACCCCCAAGTCCAAGCCAACATTATCGTTGCCAGGGTGACTGACTACCAAAGCCCTTTAACGGGCTACCCTGACTGCTTCCCCTTTTCTTCTATTCCTCTCATCATTTTGGACCCACAGCAATCTTTAAAAACTCTTGTCAAATCATTTCACTCCCTTGCTTGAAACCTGTTGGTGACCTCATCCTGCATTCGATGAAACACGGAAGCCCACAGAAGCCCAGCGCAGCCCATGGAGAGGACTGCACTGTCTGGGCCCTAGGCCTGGCTGCAGAGGCACAGCATTGTTGGCACCATGTTGTTGTAGTTTGTGAGACACTCTCCCCTTCACTCTTGACTTCCCTGTAAGATTACAGTTACTTCAATTTTCTAAACGCAGTAAAATAACTCAGGCTCTCAAAGGTGTACTTAGAATGAATATTGTGTTATCGGAAATGGAACAACGAGTGTTTTATTCCTCCAAACACCAGAATAACACTTCCTAGAACACAGAGGTGGACTACTATTTCATTTGGAACCTTAATATGTAATAGCCAATAAGTAATCAACTGAAATTGCAATGCCCCTTGGTACTCCCCAAGCAACTTCCCCACCCCCCACCCACATTTTAGACATAAAAATGTGCAACAGCATTTTAGCTCAGGAAGCGGGGTTCTAGGTTGGTACAAGAAAAGACTGACATTCCATTATACAACGGGGGAAAAAAAAGCTAAATATTAGCATACAGCGTTCCTTTTTAAATATATTTCTCCTATCTTGAAGCCTATTTCTATTCCTTAGCCTTGAGCTTTACTCCTCTGTGTGTGTGTTAAGCGTGCGTGTGTACACGTCGCCATGCACACACCTGAAAAACACATAGCTGAATTTCATCTTAGGCACGATACTCTCCATTCTGAGGCCTTCCCCAAGGTATTTATTGGAAATACTGAAATTCCAGCTGGATGTTTGGTGCACTGTGGCCTAAAATTACGATAGCTTTTCTATGATATTGAAGTTGAAATGTTTTAAATACTCAGTTGGTGGGTCCCCGATGAGTTACAGCAAAGATTGTGATGGGAATGCTAGCAAAGGTGATTTTACAGTGTGATGAGCATTGTGATAGGGTTTATTACCTAGTGTCATGGGAGTATAGGGAGATGGCCTCTCACCTTCGGGAGTGGAAAGTCATGTGACCCTTGAGATGGGTCTTGAAAGAGACCCCAAGTACCAAATGCTTGTTTTTTTTTTTGCCAAGCAGAAGGAATGCTTGGGAGAAAAGGGGTGCAAAGGGCATTTCAGACAGCTGCATGGATAAAAGCCTGGGAGGTCAGCAAGGACGTGGCATGCCAGAGAACCCTGAGGAGGGTCGCTACTGCAGTGGAGGGCATGGTGGGGTGGGAGTTGAGAGCTAAAAGGTGGGCAGGAGGCACATTGTATAGGTCCTTCCTTGGGGACCAGGTTAAGCAAGGGATTTGGATCTTACTCTAAAGGCAGTAGAATGCCACTATAGAATTTTATACTGAGGAGTTACTGGATCGGGTTTGTCTTTTAGAATAGGGATTCTGTAGGCATGGTCTGTACTCCTAAGACTTCTACTGAAAGTCAGTGATCTGATTCAGATACGAAAGTCCTTTTGTTATTTCTTTTTAATTAATTAATTAATTTTTTAATTGCATTTTAGGTTTTGGGGTACATGTGAAGAATATGCAAGATTGTTGCATACTTACACACGTGGCAGTGTGATTTGCTGCCTTCCTCCCCTTCACCAATATCTGGCATTTCTCCCCATGCCATCTCTCCCCAACTCCCCATCCCCCCCTGTCCCCCCCCATTTCTCCCCTAACAGACCCCAGTGTGTGATGCTCCCCTCCCTGTGTCCATGTGTTCTCATTGTTCAACACCCACCTGTGAGTGAGAACATGTGGTGTTTGATTTTCTGTTCTTATGTCAGTTTGCTGAGAATGATGGTTTCCAGGTTCATCCATGTCCCTACAAAGGACATGAACTCATCGATTTTGATGGCTGCATAATATTCCATGGTATATATGTGCCACATTTTCCCTGTCCAGTCTATCATCGATGGGCATTTGGGTTGG